GATATGATATTTTCATTGAATATTAACATTAATACCTGACTTAGGAAAATAAAAATCCGAACAAGTAATTAATATATATTTTTGGTTAATATTCGTTCATTGGCTGTCCGCAGGTTCCCGCCATGTTTGCTTGAGGTTATACACCTCACTTTGAGTCACTTGTCTCCTTTCCTCCTCCTTGTAGATAGGGTGGTTCCTGTGGTATGAGAATAGTTTTTTTTGTGCGTGTGTTTTTCTTTTGGTACTTTACTCAAATCTGACCTCCATTCTTGTGCAAATTAGCAATTTGTTAAAAATTATTTTTTAACCGTTAATTTGCACACTAAATGAAGGTCAGATTCGAGTAAACACACACAAAAAACCGCCAATTATACCCATTCTCTTATCAAAACCTGAGGACAGCCAGTAGACGAATATTTACCATATTGCACTACACGAGGCTAAAAATCAAAGGTACCGTGGCTAATCAATAATTTCTGACAAAACATCTCGCCATGATAAAATATTGTTGCAAAATTAATGTCTCAGGGTTTAAAACAGGCAAAATTTCCCGGCTTCGCTCAAGTTAGATATATTAGGTATAATAACCTTGACTCACAGTTTGCCCTCCCGTGGGTAACCCTCGCAGTCACCGTTGTGATATTATAGCCGGGGAAGATTTTTGGCTGTGGTCACCAGCAATGCCAAGGTGCACAATCTTGGTCCTGACCCATGTAATATGTGTGTAAAGTTTCAGGTCTCTAACTGCTTCCGTTTTGCAGCTATGGTTAGGTCAGACACAGACAAACGTATTCTTTTATTATTATAGATTAATAAAGCCTTCAGTCCTGTCACAGCCTAAACGGTGCGACTCGGCTTTTTTTGTAATTCTTACGGCGAAAATACTGAAAAGTGGTGATTACTTTACCAGTAACAGAGGAATTTGACCTTTATAAAATATAATCCTGATACCCATAATAGCTAGCCATACAATTTTGGAATAGGCTATAGGTGAAATTCTCTTGGTGCATAGGCAATGCACCAAGAGAATTGGGAAGGAAGCTATGCAGTACGTCAACGCAGCCTTCATAGCCATAAAAGGTACTAGGCGATTAGTGAAGTCCTCAAACCATAAACGTAACGTTAGAATTAGCTAATATGTCAACGAGATCTTTATAGCTGTAAATGGTGAAAGGAAGCTCTCAGCGAGTAGGCCATGATGCTGCAACAATAATCCACAAATAAGGTCGAATTTAAACCATTCTTGTAACAATAAAATTATTAAGTGCGAGATATATTCCAAGATAATGTTCAAAGGGAAAACTATCAATAAGTCACATATGACAACAAGGAATTTAATGATGGAAATCAAACTTTTCAGTCTAAAAAAATAAAAGCCTCATTTGTCTTGACAGTCTGGAATTGCCATTTTACATACAGTAGTAGGTTGAATACCGCACAATCGCACCCTTTTCTCAACACCCGATTATCTAATACCGTTAGAAAAAAGCTGACACTAAGATTATTCTCAATAGTAATACTTACCATGTACACCAGCCATACACATATATTTGATGGTCTGCACGTTGTGTTGGTTGATTCCTGCCGCTGTCCTGCTTTGGAAACTGAAAACTAATAAATAACTTATCATAACAGGTTATTTACCTTTGTTTCCACGTGAGTAAACTCACTCTTGATTGCTCCACTGCCACCATAAATTAAGGAGTCCGTAAGTGGCAGAAGTCCTACCTCGCCACCTAAGACAGTCATCAGACACTACATCTACACTTTCTACAGTCTATTACACCAACTGTAGCTATACACGCCAGTATCCTACGAGCTACGGCGCTAAACTATTTATATAACCAGGCAACACTAATCAAACCCAACTAAGATTGTTACATCAAGTTTACTTGGTAAATCTATGCTGCTAAAAAAAATATCGCTTCAATATAAGTTAATAACGGGATTTTTCGCGAGTCCAAATTCTTTTTTCTCCTTGTGGTGGAGGGCGCAAGATAAGCTCTTGTTGGGATAGCTTTTAATGTGAGTACTTATGGAACTAGACCAAAGGAATTATTCAAACGAACGTGATACATCTTGGCAAATATAATTAACTGCAAATTTATATGGTATGCAAATTCAAGTAACTCAAAGAATAACATGCACTGTGCAAGTAACAAAGCAAAAACTTAGATCTAATTCACCTTGTTGTCCTCACCCAAACAATAAATAGCTTGATCCTCCAGTTCTAAGTGGTGTTATCCTCCAGGCCTATTTGGCTAAGAAGCAGCCCTCTGATATCACCTTCTGCGCCCATCGGTGGTTTCACCCCCTCAGCTACTTACAATATAGTCTGTGACCCCTATACAGTACATATGGAACAACCACAACTGCCTGTGGTGTAACCCTCAATTCCCTGTAGCAAAATCTCGGCTATGTGATGCATGAACAGCTTTCTGTTGTGTGACCTTACATCACAGTATATCAAGCTCTTGTAGTATATCCCTCCAGCTCTACAGAAAACACCTCCAGGTCGCTGTACTAAACCCCCTTAAACTTTCTGCAGTATTTCCTCTATATCACAGAAGTCGGCCAAGACATCTCTAACCGGTATGCCACCCCAACTTCCTGCAAGAGGCCCCTCCTTCCTCACCAGCATGGACCTACAATTACCAGCAGTATTAGCCTAGACAGCTACCAGTAGTATGACCCTACAACTACCAGCACAATCTACATCTTCCACGAGTAAGAGCCGACATCTACCAACAGTACGAGCCTAGACAGCTGCCAGTAGTGTAGTATGAGCCTACAGCAAGCTGTGGTATGAGCCTATTACTGCCAGAAGTATGAACCTATAACTACAAGTAGTATGAGCCTATAACTATTAGTACAGTAGTATGAGCCTATAACTATTACTACAGTAGTATGAGCCTATAACTACTAGTACAGTAGTATGAGCCTATAACTTCTAGTACAGTAGTATGAGCCTATAACTACCAGTAGTATGAGCCTATAACTACCAGTAGTATGAGCCTATAACTACCAGTGTATGAGCCTATAACTACCAGTAGTATGAGCCTATAACTACCAGTAGTATGAGCCTATAACTACCAGTGTATGAGCCTATAACTACCAGTAGTATGAGCCTATAACTACCATTGTATGAGCCTATAACTTCCAATAGTATTAGCCTACAGGTAGCTGTCGTATAAACTTACAACTACCAGTAGAATGAGGCAATAACTACCATTAGTATGAGCCTATATCTACCGGTAGTACGTCTATATCTACCATTAGGATGAGCATATACCTACTAGTAGTATGAGCCTTATCTACCAGTAGCAGGGTCTATATCTACCAGAGGTATGAGCCTATAACTACCAGTAGTATGAGCCTATATCTACATGAGGTATGAGCCTATATCTGCCAGTGGTATGAGCTTATATCTACCCACAGTATGAGCCTATATCTACCAGTAGTGTGAGCCTATATTTACCCGAAGTATGAGCACATATCTATCTGAGGTATGAGCCTACAGCTATCTATAGCATTTGCCTAAAGCTACCAGTGGTATGAGACTTGGCAGAGCCCAGTTACTATAATAGTAGTGTGATTCTTAAGCATGACGCAAACGTTATGGACATGACCATTTCCAGTTACCTGTGTTGTAATCCTAATTACCAGTGGAGGGATATCAGTGTCTCCACCCCCCTCTACCTCTCAGTTATAACCAAGAAATTGTATCCACTGTAATATGACCCTCCCAAATTGTGGAGTGATCCTCATGCCGTCTGTGGTATAAACACCAACGCTACATGTGAAAAAGATGTCCAACAGGGCCTGCTGCATCCCCGGATGAAGCTAAAGGGGTAAGCACGGAGCGGGGCAATGAAATTCTCGCAGTACTCCAAATGGCAGCCATCCGCGACTGGAGTACCTCCCTACTCCTTCCCTGTCTTCGGGTGGAAATTAAAAGAGACTTGTAAGAAGGTTCTCAACTTACCAGGATTCTGCCTGTTGTGGTCTGGCCAGAGATGAGCTCCCCCGCCCAGTCCTTGGCTTCTGTGACGAAGTTGCCCTCCATGAGGTTCTTGGGCTTGGGCTGGCCGGGGGCTTGCCCCTGGCCCTGCTGCGCTAGGAGCCTGTCCTTGTCCTGCTGTTTTTGATACTCGCTGGATTCCCGGTTCCGGCAGCAGAGGAAGGCGAAGGCCCGCCATATCAAAACTATGAAGATCCCTGCTAGGAACGTGAAGATACTTGACAACAAGAAGCACCACCATTTTCGAACTTTTAGACACTCCTCCTCCACGAGAGGGGTTGGACCCGGATCGTCGGTCATCGTTAACACTTCATGTCACTCTGCCTCGCAGTCAGATAATGCAAGAGTTGCATTAAAGTAGAAAGTGTATATTGTCTATCACATCGTCAGGTATATGAAAGGGTGAGTTCCTCTCGGGACAACCAACGTAACTGCCAGACCCATGGCACGTCGTCTACTCTTCGTCGTTGAGGTTGCTTTGAGGCGCCAAATCAATATTGTCTGCTAGCCAATGGTAAGACTGTAAATCGATGACGTTGCGCAGAATACTTCGTGATGTCATTATTTTTTAACCAATGAAAATACCGGAGCTGCTGGGGTCTATGGCACTCACAACCAATGATAGCGAAGAGTTTAGTGATGACGTCGCAAGATGTTAACCAATCACAAGTGCGTATTTTGTAAATACATATGGCGGATAAACTTTGAGAACAAACAAGAAGCTCTAAAGGCGTCCGTGTTCACATATTGATTACAGCAAGGTAGGACAGGTATAGGATGACAATAATATCAAGTAATTGCAGAATAATCCATTGGTGGTAGTTAAAGAAGGACTGTAAATGTATATGTGTCATGGTGTTAAGAGATCTTGAGCCAGGCAGGAACGACCCTTGGGTGTTGGTAGTGGTTAACTCGGGAGTTGGTTCAGTAAGAATGATGTTTCAGTGTTAAATATCATACTGTAAATTACATAAAGTTGTGCAACTTTAAACACGTCATAATTTCAAATCTACTGTTAATCAGGTATGAAATAAGTGCCTAACGTCAAGAATGGAACAAGGTAGCAACAGGACCTCAAGGTTTGATTAACTTAAAAAGCCAGTTTTATTCTCTAGCTTACAAGGAAAGCTTGTTTATGTTTATTGTGTGCAATCTCTACCAAGCTTTCTTACACTGTCAGAATTGGGTAAAGGTTTCTCTTTAGCTTGCACGTTTAACTGGTTTGTCACTTGGGTATTTGACCAGTGTTTGTTTTAATGCATACATTATAAACCTGGTGACGGAGTAAGTAATACTGCAAGAGGCTTTTAAGATAATCTTGTACAGTATATAACAGCTTTAAATTCACGGCACAGGATACAGGTACGGCATACAGTCATTATCTGTTGGTATGGCAGCCTAATGAGCCTGCATGGTGGGAAAACTATACAGTGGCCTTCTTTCTGACTAACCTAACCTAACCATTAACAACTTTGTCCGTCAATACGATTGCCATATCTGTATCCACTAACTATGTACGGTAAAATTATGTTTTTATTGACATTCAGTGAGACCGGGAACTTTTCAGATACTGCTGCACTATATAGTTTATCGGGCGTCATCAAGTAAGCAATGGCATGAGCTTATTTATTTATGAAAAAATAAGGAAAATCAGGGTAATACTGATACAGACAGCTAACACCTGAAGTTATTCTATTTCATTCATTTTTCCACTGATGTTTTTTGGATTATAGTAAGTAATAAAAACGATACAGCCTTTTATTTTAATTATTTTAGTTTTTATTTGTCAATAAATAGTTTTCTTTATGATCATAAATCGCCTGAAAATGGTGTCCCTACGTACTTTGTTCATGAAATAATTAATTACCGTAAATATTCCTCCGAAATATCTGCTGTGTCTGTGCATGTTGTCGTCTGCTGTTTCTGCTCAACAATTGACCCACTTGGTCTCAGTGTACAGGTACTCTCACGTCCACAAAAAACGTAAAATTACACCACACTGCTTCAAGAAAGTTGCTTTCATTGGTACCAGTTATCAAAGTATATACAGTATTTTCTCTTTAATATGACTTGGGTCCAGGGGTTGGAGACCCCTAACTAGGAAGTAAAGTAATGTTAGGTAGGTTTCTTTGGTTGGTTAGATCAGCCTCTATTAGGTTCTGTCCATTGTTTCTATTACTTACTATTATCCAAAGAACATCTGTGGGAAAAATTTTCGAAATTGAGCAATTCTTCCTGGTGTTAGCGGTCTATTCTAGGATTACCAAAATCAATACAGAGCAATTTTTTTTAAGTTGCTGGTTGACCAGGACCCTTGTACAGGTATCCCTTGTTATCTGAATTGGTGGGGTTCCATGAAAAGCATTCATATATTGAATTTTTGGATAGTGAATAACAGAACAAATTGGAAAAATAGGGTTCGGTTCCCCAATGACAAGAAAGCCTTCAATATTATATCTAAAATATTTAAATGGTTCCTAATCAACAAAAACATAGTTAACTACTGTAATTTAGTGCAGTACCTAACTACTGTACAAGAAAACCCCATTATCCCTAAAAAAATTAAATCGATTCACAGACAAAAAAACACCTAGCTACAGTACAGTACTGTAATTTAGTGCAGTAACTACCTATCTACTATAATTAATATCTAACTATTATATGGTAATTGTTAAACAAAATAAAATACTGTACTGTATACAGTACAGGGTGCTGTCCATTTGGTACATTACCTTATCAGAGGGCAGTCAGGGCTCGTCACGGAGAGATTTTAATTTTCAATCTGACCATCTTTCAGATTAGTGAAAATTGCCTTTGGATAGTGAAAAAGATTTACATTGGTCTTTCCCCATTCTTGAGGCTTGATCATCTCAAACTTGGCTTCAATTATCACTGATTTGTGGGATCTCTTGGCAGTGGTGGGGGGCAGCAGAAGAAGCACCATTATGCTTGGATTCCACTACATACAGATTCATGAAGGGATGGCACGAATGTAGATGATAAAGAGAGAGAGCACTTAATATGCACCGAACAAGTGAATTTTCGGATAGTGATCATTCAGGTAATGAGGGATACAATACATCCCTGTAGTTGATTTATCCAACATAAGATAACCAACTTAACCTATTCTCGGTTTACGCGGTCAATTAAACCCGTGGAGGTCCGTGTAAAACGAGAAACGCGTAAACGAAATAACAGAACATATGGGATTAATTGAAATAGAGACTGGGCCGACCCCCAGACTACCCTTTTTCCGACACAATACGTACATTGTAGTAAAAATAACATCTTAATTTTATGATGGTATGCACACAATTAATATTTAAGAGAAATATCAATAATATTAGGTTTTTAACACTTACGTTAGTAGAAGAGATGGCTGGGCACACGGGGATGGGGGGTTGGTTCCGAGGCAGAGGGCAGATTATTGGCCCTCACCTGTATCACTGTATCACCTGTATCACTATCCACCACAGAGGCTTGCAGGGCCTCTTTGTCAAACCCCTCAAAGTCCATATCCTCACTATCACTGACTTGGACTGGCTGTGGTGGGTGGCGGGTGAAGAACTCGGTAATGTTATGTTGACTGGGCAACCTTGCACGCACCCTGCCCGCACCGCTTCCCGTGTAAATGATGGAATGTACCGCGTAACTAATAATTGCCGCGTAAATCGAGACTATACTTTACTGTATATTAGGTAGGTTAAATCATATAATGTAGCAGTTGCTGGTAAATTCATCTGCGGAAGCATTTGGCGTGTATGAAACACTTGAAGGAATAAACCACCATAATAATAATACAAAATTTGTAAATCCTCATCGATTCTTGAAATTGCCAAAATTATATTACAAAATTTAGTACAAGTTACCATCTTCTATACAAAAAATTCTCAAAATTTTTTATTGTTCATGTGTACAGTATACAGTATATATAATATGTGGCGCTCCTATTGATAGTAAATCAACCAATGGCGCCCAAATCAGATTCTTGTTTCAACGAATAAACTCTGTATTGGGTGGAGAAGGATTTGGGCTTCCTGTTGAAACAAGAATCTGATTTGGGCGCCATTGGTTGATTCGTCACTATCAATGGGAGCGCCTCATATTATAGTGGGGCCGCATAGCAAATGTATTGTGCCTTTTGTAATAAAAGTACCAAATTTGGCAAACTTATTGACTTTTACATAATGAACAAATCTGGATATGGTGCCACTGCATATTTTGCCCTCGACGGCCGTGGCAGGCATTTTCCAAAATGGCGGTCAGAAAACTATGGCAGCATCCAGAAAAGTCACTTCAAGACATATTGCGGGACTAAAATAGTTGCAGTTAACATTCTAAGGTGCTAAAAGACAAGGACAAAGGAGATAAACCAAAATTAAACATGGTTTTTATTACGTTATTGGTGAATACAGTATGTGAATTTGCAAGTACAGCGAGTTGTGAAGCAGCATTCACCAAACTATTAAGTCAGTGATGGGAGCACAGTCCTTAAAACACACACAGTACTGTGCATTCAAGTGCAGCTTTTTTGCACTTGCAACCCTTCACACATCCCTTTTTGCATCTGCACGAGACTAGCTCATAACAGGTGTGGGCTGCCTCAGGTAGTGTCCTCCTGTGAAGTGCTGTGCCGTAAAGATAATGAATGTTGATTTGACCTCATCTAAGCTAACCTATATCTTTCTCCTGTTTTAAGGGTTCCCGGTTTGTGCTCAGGATTCCCCCAGTCCATCCAGCTGTAAATGGATACTTAAACTTTTCATTTGTGAAAGTGAAGACAGTTTAGTATAGTGCTGATTACACTGCCTCCTTGTGTACCAATGTGCTTTATTTACTGTACCACTAACAATCCATCAAACCTCTGGGACTCCATTTTACTTCAAGCTAACCTAGCCGAGCTTATCTTTACCTTATATGATATGCATAATCCTTCTTTGAAACACAGTTTGGTTTGCTCAGTTTTCTCTAACCTAACCATCAATTAAATGGGATTTTTTGATTAAATTTATCTTTTGTTTTTAACAAAGATATTCTTTGTTATTAAATGTTACATTTAATCAGTACCATACAGTACAGTGGTCCCTCGGTTAACAAACTCAATCCGTTCCAACAGGTTGTTCGTTAACCGAAAAGTTCGTTAACCGAAACCACTGTTTCAATGGGTTTTTGGGTAATTGGTTCCAGCTCACCGAAAATTGCCTAAATTCAACAAAAATGGTAGAAAAGTTCACTTACTTTGAGGTGTGTATGTAGAAGGCTCCTGGATGATGATGATGATGATGATGATGATGGGAATTAGAATGGGGGTGGAGGAGAAGGAAGAAGAGAAGGCATTGGAGTGGAAGAGAAGTCACCCCATGGCACCATTTCACCCATAAAATTTTAGCTCTCTTGGTGTAATTCAAGATTAGTTTCTTTAAATCAACACTGCACTGCATTATATATTGTCAATATGTAAAATATATTTCAAAATGACCAATAATTTGCTTGGAAACACAGAAAAAAAGCGTTTAGTTGAAGAGAGTCTCAAGCAAGATGTTACCTCCAGTGAAAACAGAGAGAGACTAACACCTGTTTGCTGTGTTAAGAGGCTGGATGGCACGCATTAAACTAGTCACTTTACCTTCAATTATGTTCAATAATTTTTAAAATGACTAAAAAATTGAATATTAAACTTTTAAAATTATTGAATAGTATAAACTTCTTGATATTTACTAAAATAGTAAGGAATTTAAGCCCTAGAACCGATTAATGTATTGGCGGACTGATACTAAAGCTGGTTGCCCGGCCAGTGCAAGCGAAAACATGTTGAGGTCGGTTCGTAAGAAATTCGTTAACCGAATTTTTGTTCGTTAACTGAATTGAAGATTCTTATGGAAGGCAGTTCGTTAACCGAGGCGTTCGTTAACCAAGGGATCACTGTATTGTACTGGGTAAATATTTGGACCTTGACTGTTTCTAGTTTGGCAGACAATTTTGGTCTCATTTTGCTCAGTATTTGATGCTTAATGCAATGGAGATAGTCTTTTCTCTCTCTTTTTTATGGAAACACTAAAAAAATTATGTTTTTGACTTCCGAGTTGAGAATCACGAAATAAATTTATTTCTTATACGTTACTACGACCGTTTTCCATTGAAAAGCAACAAATATTGACTAACTGAAACCGAAATTGTGGAAATTATTGATACCTGAAAATAATTTTTGCTGTGGAAGTCAGTATTTTGTCAGCGGGGAAAGTTATCTACTGAAGATGGTATCGTTCCAGCCCCTCTGAATGGTTAGGTTAGGTTATGATTAGTTAAGTTAGAAATTGGGTGTTTGACCCCCCTAGTTTTGCTTTCAGGTAAGAATTGGTGACAATTCCGATTTCTGTTTCCTCAATATTTGTTGCTTTTCAATGTAAAATGATCGTAGGAATGGGAAAAAATTGCCTTCTTTACTTCGTGATTCTCAACTCGGAAGTTTAAATTTTTTTAGCGTTTCCATGAAAGAAGACTACCTCCATTGCAATAAGCATCAAATATTGAGCAAAATGTGACCAAAATTGTCTGCCAAACCAGCAACAGTCAAGGTCCAAATATTTACCCAGTACAGTGATCCCTTGGTTACCGAGCGCCTCGGTTAACGAAATTTCGGTTCACGAATTACCTTCCATAAGATTCTTCACTTCGGTTAACGAGCAAACCCTCGGTTAACGAATTTCTTACGAATTTTTCCCAACATGTTTTCGCCTGCATTTGGCTGCCCACCGGCTGTAGTATCAATCTGCCAGTACAGTAATCAGTTTTAGGGCTTAAATTCCTTACCATTTTAGTAAATATCATGAAAGTTGTACTATTCAATAATTTAAAAAAATTTATATTAAATTTTGTAGTCATTTTAACAATTATTGAACATAATTGAAGTACCGAAAACTAGTTTTTTTGCGTGCCAAACAGCCACTCAACACACCAAGCTTGGCGTCATTTTGTTTACCAGTTCAGAGGAAGGAACATCTTGTTTGAGACTCTTCAACATAAATGCTTTTTTCTGTGTTTCCAGTCAAATTACTGGTCATTTTGAAATATATTTTACATATTGGTAATATATAGCGCAGTGCAGTGTTGATTTAAAGAAAATAATCTTGAATTACACCAAGAGAACTAAAATTTTATGGGTGAAATGACAGCATGGGGTGACTTCTCTTCCACCCCAATGCCTTCTCTTCTCCCTTCTCCTCCACCCCCATTCTAATTCCCATCGTCATCATCATCATCAACCAGGAGCCTTTTACATGCACACCTCAAAGTAAGTGTACTTACTGCATTTATTTTTAGTTTGTATGTAATTTTTGGTGAGCTGGAACCAATTACCCCAAAGCTCATTGAAACAGTGGTTTCGATTAACGAATTTTTCGGCTAACGAGCAACCTTCTGGAACGATTTGTGCTCGTTAACCGAGGGACCACTGTACTGTACAGTATATGTTGTTCACTTGAGGAATTGTTATTTCAGCTGATGTGGAATTCATAAAATTAGTTACCAGATTCTGTAATAACAATATCATATTTAATCAAATGATTCAATTATTGGAATGCAGTACCGGGTATTTTTCTATAAATATCACTCCTCTAATGATCTTTTAGCAGGATGGACTATGACTCGGATGAAAATGAAGTCCTTGAATCAGGAGTCGTGGACGTGGGAGAAAAGGGAGGGCTTTCCTCGTGTGGATATTGGTAAGCTTTACAATATTTATTTTATAGCCAGCTGTCCTTCACTCAGCATCTCAGGAAAAATGCACTCACAAAACCATTGGTTAGGTACCCACACAACCTCAAATTAGTGGCTGGGACACACATTGCATACACACATAAACTCAGCTACAAACAGACTCATACTTACCACACACTTATATTTGTCTTGATATTCAGTACAATATATATTCAGCTAAAGTATCACAGCTGATATTGTTTTCTACTTCATTTACCAGTTACTTATGATGACCCAGGCCACTTCTTATTTGACACCACCAGTCTTCAGTTACCAACAACACATGACCTGAGGTGACACATCTGGCCAACACTTTTTCCCTGGAATGTGACATACTGACCTGATATATAATCCCATTACTGCTCTTGCTTGGCACCACACCTTACTCTCACTCTGTACTTCTGTTTGCACCTCTCTTGGCATTCTTTCCAGATTCCACTGTATTATTTAGGTTAGACAAATGGTTAAACAACAGATACTGAAAGGGAACATGTATTGTTGTGTAATATCACTTGTTCAAAAATTCTAATTCTTTGTTACAATTAGTCATTTCAAACCTCTATAAGGTACAGTACTCCCACAGTTTATATATTCACATTCTAGAGATATTGTATATTGCACTATGACATTGTCAAGCAGTGGTTACAGTGGCAGCATAGTCCATTTTTGTGGGACTGTTTATGTAAACCTAACATTTGTAAGCTTCTGTGGAATATTACATCATGGGCTTGAGTATTGCTCAGGGTGGAGACTGCATATACAGGTAGTACTGTATTACTTCTTTGCATCCATGACTACTACTGGAACGATGGCCCTATTGGCCTTGTATTCATCTGTACCCACTGTTTTCCTCTGTACAGCACTGTAGTGTGAAGCTTGTAAACTGTGTTGTTCTTGGTTTCTTGTTGAATGATATACTGCATTTGATTTAGCATATTTTCTGGTTGGTTAGTTACATATTTCATTGTGTGTAAGTACAATACTGTACAGTACTTGATAAGTTGATAGCTTTCACATACAGCTTAACCACATTTAGGTGACAGCTTTATAATAAATTGTTTGAGTGTTTTACACACTTTTAGAACAAATATAAAAGAGGATTGGGGATGTCTATATTTGTAATATTTGGGAAGATTCCACCTGCACTGCCTTTTATCCATGTTAGAAAATGTATCCATGAATCAGAAAGAAATTGCACTGTGCTTCAAAAATGGTTATACCTGTTTTACCTTTCTAATATTTCTGGAAGGCAAAAAGATATTATTGCAAGGTTAGTTTAGCTGTATGTAACTAAGAAGTATCTCTAATAATAGCAAAATACTTCAATATTTTACAAACAGACATGCTGTAACCAGTTTGAACAAGGGAAAATACTGGATTGTAACTACTCAGCATCGGACTTATATCCCAGAATTAATCACAGACAAGTACTGTACAGTATTTTATTACCTTAATACCTGTATAGCAATAATATTTACTTTAAGTTGGTTATTTATGTCTTACAGTGGGAAGCTTCGGAACTTGAATGCCGTTGAGTTGATGTGCTGGCAGTGTGGTTCTTGGTTCCATGAATCATGTATCAGTTATCAGCTTGGCAAATTGGTGCCCTTTATGCTCAACTACTCCTTTACCTGCAAGACCTGCTCTTCAACTGGTGTTGAGACCTTTCGCAAAACTCAAGCACGTTAGTAATATCAATCTTTTGTATTGAATTATATTACCAAGAATGGGAAATGTACCGTATTATTGATGCATCGGATGTCATATTTCTGACACCCGTGGATGTGAAAATTTTATGTTTATGGATTTGGATATTGTGACAACATAATACAGTATATAATACACTGCAACAACAAATGAAAAATTATGCTTAATTAACTATAAATCTTGTTATGTTGTTTGAAATATTTTACTGTACTAGTCAGTAGTCTCTTGCCGACTGTGGGGGTTAGGTTCCTGAAGAACCCTGTGGTTGGCAACTCCGCAGTTGGCAAGACTAAAGGGTTATTGGAAATAAGGGGTTAGCTTCCATGGCTGCTGATGACACTCATCAAAGCCTAACTAAGTTTCCTGTTCCTTCACTAAACAATACCTGTATTGTACATTTAATTAAATTTTAGTTTAATAAGTTATATTTCCGTTAGCCGGAATTCCTCAAATCCGTAACTCTCCGATAGCCAGAATTGAAATCTTCTCGGAAAATCGTGCTCAAAGTCAATCTTTTCCGGAAAATTGTGGCTTTGAGAATGATTTTCCGATGAGCACATTTTCAGGAAAATTCTGAGAAAATTTTCCCGATACCTAGAAAATTCCAGGGATAGGGGAGTTTTTTCTGGGTTTCAAAGATGAAAATTATGTGCATTATCCGGAAATTCAGAGAAAAATTTTCCGGTACCCGGAAAATTATAGGGATGGGAGCTATTTTTCCGGGCCCAAGAGATGATGTAATGGGCAATTTCTGGAGCTTCCAAGAACATTTTTCCATTACCCAGAACCTTCCAGGGATGAGGGATTTTTTCCAGCTTTGAGAGAGTCGTCTTGTTACCTGGAAATCTCTCATTCCTGGAAGTGCTCTGCACCAATTGTTCCGGCTAATGGAGATATCCTTGTACTTGTATATATAAAGTTCAGTAGCTTAATAAAATTAAATAGTAAAATAAAATTTTACAGTACATCTCAATGGATATGGCATGTTGCAATAAAATAAGAAAAATGAAGAGCATGGGTGTATAATGTATATGTGTGAATGATCATGTGTATGTGGACTTGGCAGATTGCCAAGTCAGACTGTCCCTGTAGCTACATCCCCCTAGCTCTCCCCTACCAGACCAAGCTTTGACTTGGAGGCAAAGCCCAGATTTGGGTGAGTGAATAGTGGCTTGTAGCATGTCCTCCACATGGCTAGTGTGTGTTGCTGTTATTGTAAAGTACGCAGTATTAGCCAGACGATTTTAGTGATGGTAGATCCTACAGGTCACCCATATTTTCCCCAAACCATAAAATGGGCTTCCATACTTCAATTCACCATTTTCATTTATTCATGTTTTTTTACAGAACTTCGAGATATGTGCATAACAGCTTTAGCCAACTTGCAGCATGGAAATAAAGATAATCGAGGAAACACAATGTTCAGCCTGCAGCGAGATGTTATCCCTTTTTTAGAGCAAAACTGGGAGGCTCTGACCACTGCTGCTCGGCGCTCCACACAGTCATGGCATACAACTGTGAGTTTTTATTCTATTTATTTATTTTTTATCGTGAAATAGTGTTGGTCTGTAGATTTATATTACAGAAATGCAGTAAGTCCCAAGTTTTTATTTCAGTTTTCTGGAGCTTATTAGAAATATTTGCCCACATAGGATCTTAGAACGGGTTGTATTTATGCTGTCAGTGACCTTGTATGTCCCTTCTAGTTACCAGAACACTGAAAATATCATACAGTACGCCGGATAATTTGCGGATTTTTATTTCGCGATCCTCTATTATTTGCGGGTGACACCCTGGATGTACCGAAGGATGTCTGCGAGTAGTTTTAAAGTTGCCAGCATTTTCGCGGCCGAGACAGGGAGCCATTCATTCTAGAGACAGTAATTCCCTTTACCTGTATTGTATATATGTGTTTGTGTGTGAGTAGACACACAACACAAAACACATACAAATAAATGATAATGGGAAAATCCACTCACAAATAATCATAAACAAATGTAGTATTAAAAATGTTGAGTCTACCCTCAAGTCTACTCCGTGCTTTGTTATTAATAATTGTCCTAAGGGCAAACACATAAAGGGAATCTACATTTCTTTGTACACAAGTAGAAATGTAACCCCCCCCCCTGCCCCTGGTCAGCGAATGTTATTCGCGGATTTGGCGATTCGCAGCCATTTTGAGAACATAACCCCTGCGAATTTGAAGGGCATGCTGTATTCTCAATGAGACTAAATATCCCAATTTTAATTCCTGTATAATGTATTTTGTTGCAAGTGATAGATCAGATACAGAGAAGAATACACTGCTCCTTTGAAAGAATATCTGATCTTGTATCCTCTCCATCCACCAATCCCAATTAACTGTACCTATGAAGTCAGCTCCTACAGTTTTCCATGAAAGATTCTGAAAGCTGGCTTAAATATGTAAGAAGGGCAGAAGGTGTGCATAATGTGGTACAGTAAAGTATCTGTCAACTGAAAAGATTTGAGACCAAGAGGATTCTGTCAACTGGAGTATTATGTATAGTGGAGATACTGTACTACAATGACTGTGTCCAAAGAAGCCAGTTAATAAATCATGGTACTGTACTTGTGTTAGTTTAGTTATATTATTAGTTTCAGAAAATACCAGTATACTAACATCATTATTATCTAACATTCTCATAGGTATTAAGTCTACAAATAAGCTTTCAGTGTGTCTTCATTCTCCCAAAATCACCAAATAAGCAGTGCTGGGCACACTAGCTGCATAGAACAGCACCACTTGCACTGTCACTACTGGTATAAAAAAAACAGCATTACTCTTGCTGTTGATTTTAAAGTGTAGCATCACTATCATTGATGCACTACTTTTTTCAAGCATCTGTGTGAAGCAACGGTGAATAACTGCCTAATACAATTCACAGAAAATAGTACTGATACTTTTATTTATTAGTATAATTTTTATTCATTCCCCACATTTACAGAGGAATATGTTAGACTGTGGAGGGATAAAGATGCCACACTAATCCGCAAATACTCGAAATTCAATGCTGTAGTTAGTGAAATGGGATACAGGCGTGTCGCATCTTACACTGGGGCTACGTTCTGAAGAGGGTGTGTAAAGTCAAAAACACATATACAGGTACAATAGTCAAAATTACTCTTGAAAATCCCAGAAATCATCCATAAAGTACACAGTTATATATACCTGTCAATAGCGCATCTGGCAACATGGCTAGTTAGGCCTATTTCAGTTTAAATATGCACCACAAATAGAATGTGCCAAAAAATAAAAAATAACTACTAACATACAGTCAAGAAAATAAAGGGAATTGATCATCGTTTGTGTAGAAGCAAGCACTGGGGGTGGAAGGGAGCGAGCAACAGCTGGCATTTCCTCACTGCTCTCTCACTATCTCCTGCTATTTGGCAATGCAGTGTTTTATCTTTTATTTAATATTTTTATTATTTCTCACATTTACTGGTATAGTATACAGTATAATATTTTATGTATAAGGAACACCGTATTTTACAGCATCTAAGGCGCATGGTCATATAAGACTCAAACCCCATTTTAGCAGGGAGTATTTGGGAAAAACTTGTGTGTATTTTCCTCCTGCAGTCATAGTTTTCCTAAAATATATACAGTACCAGTAAATATGAGGAATAAATAAAAATATCAATAAATAAGTTACAAGAAAAAATACTGTACAGTATTGCCAAAACAGTAAAGCCAAATGAAAGTCTAATACATTCGCATTTTGCATACACTCCCTGCTTCACCATAGCAACGCAAACCAGCAGGGACACTACCTCCTCCGTCTCCCTAGCAAACCCCCCCCCCTCTCCATCACGTGGCACCCTTCTCCTGCCCCCTCACTGAGCCAGCTAACTCGTGCAAAGTTATTTATATTCCCTTTGTGTTTGCCCTTATGACAATTATTTCTTTTACTTTTTTGTTCATAATGCAATATGTATGTAGGATGGTGTGCACATGTAATTGAGTAAAAATTAATTAAAAAGGTACGTATATCTACCCAAAAATAAGAGTTGAAAAACACCATAAGACTCATAACTTGGCCCAGTGGCCTGGTGAGTACTGTGACGAGTTTAACTTGGCCACAATGCTGCCAGCGATGTTAACAGGTGCAATTGTGAAAAGAAAGTTATCTGTAAATTCTGTATTCATTTGTATCAGGTGTTTATAGATTTAAAAATAAATGTTGCAGGTACAACATTAACAGATAGTAATGCATGTAAGTGTTCAGAGATGGTTACTGCTTAGCTACCTCTGAAAAGTTGGGTGTCTGCCATATGGATGTTAATCGTCTCGGGTTATCATCTTCAGTACAGTACAGTCGGCCCTTCACATACGCGGGTTTAGCATTCACGGATTGCCCCACCGGAGGAATATTCTGTACATTGAAGTAATTGAAGTACTGTGGTCCCTCGGTTAACAAGCGCCTCGGTTAACGAGATTTCGGTTAACGAGTTACCTTCCATAAGATTCTTAACTTCGGTTAACGAGCAATCCCTCGATTAACGAGTTTCTTACGAGCCGACCTGAACATGTTTTCGCTTGCATTTGGCATCCACCAGCTTTAGTATTAGTCCGCCAATACAGTAATCGGTTCTAGGGCTTAAATTCCTTACCATTTTAGCAAATATCAAGAAGTTTATGCTATTCAATAATTTTTAAAGTTTAATATTAATTTTTTTAGTAATTTTAACAATTATTGAACATAATTGAAGGTAATGAAACTAGTTTTATGCCCGCCATCCAGCCTCTCAACAGCCTTCTTCTGTGTTTCCATGCTCTTACAATCTGTCTCACTTTAAAAAGCTGGTTTTCCGACATCTTCATGATGTAGATTAATACAGTACAGTATAACCTTTTTTTTTCTATATTTACAATTTCTTTCCATTCTTTTTTTTTTTCGCCAGGCTCCATTGTGGGTCGTTTGACCTGTGCCCGGGTGGGCTAATTCCCGTAAAAAAAAAACGCTTATTTTCTGTGTTTGCAAGCAAATTATTGGTCGGTCATTTTGAAATTTATTTTACATATTGACAATCTATAATGCAGTGCAGTGTTGATTTAAAGAAAATAATCTTGAATTACACCAAGAGAAGTAAAATTTTATGGGTGAAATGGCACCATGGGGTGACTTCTCTTCCACCCCAATGCCTTCTCTTTTCCCTTCTCCTCCACCCTCATTCTAATTCCCATCATCATCCAGGAGCCTTCTACATACACACCTCAAAGTAAGTGTACTTTTCTACCTTTTTTGTTGAATTTAGGCAATTTTCAGTGAGCTGGAACCAGTTACCCTAAAACCCATTGAATCAATGGTTTCGGTTAACGAGTTTTTCGGTTAACGAGCAACCTTCTAGAACGGATTGTGCTCGTTAACCGAGGGACCACTGTACATTCAAATCGCACGCTGCACCGAACACTGCACACCGCCCGTTACCTCACACACACGCATAGCTCTCCCTCATTCAGTCAGTCTCGCTGTAACCACGCTTGTGTTGACATTAGCATTGTAGTTGCAAAAATATTTCATTTCTGTGAATGTTTTATATCAAGCACAGTATGAATAGAGTATCACTAATATAACAGTATTTTAACCGAAAACTTAAAAAAACGAGTAACATTTCTTGAACATCGGAAGGTTAGGTAAAGTCTTTTGTTTTCATGTAGTTTATCCTAATTTACATTGAAATACATTACATTTCAGCAAAACTACTATTTATTTCTGAGAATATGGAAATGTAATATTTTTGCTAAAATGACGTACGTATTACAGTGGAAAGTGACGAAAGCAATGACTTTCGCTTTCTTTCGTTTAAAAGATGTTACTGTAATCGCTTTTCGAATGGTTTTCAGTTAAAAAACTGTTGTATTACAATAATATTCTATCCTAATTCACTTGTGATGTATTACAATAATATTCTATCCTAATTCACTTGTGATGCAACAGTTTTTTAACTGAAAACCATTCGAAAAGCGATTACGGTAACATCTTTTGAACGAAAGAAAGCGAAAGTCATTGTTTTCGCCACGATTTTATCCCACTTTCCACTGTAATACGTACGTCATTTCAGCAAAAATATTACATTTCCGTGATTGTAGTATATCAAGCACAGTATGAATAGAATATCATTGTAATATAACAGTATTTTAACCGAAAACTATTAAAAAAACGAGTAACATCTCTTGAACATCGGAAGGTTGGGTAAAGTCTTTTGTTTTCGTTATGTATTTTATCCTATTTTACATTGAAATACATCACGTTTCAGCAAAACTACTATTTATTTCTGAGAATATATTCATTGAGGCGCAGTTTAGGTAAAATATACATGTGATGTAACAGTTTTTTAACCGAAAACGATTCGAAGAACACGTACCCTCTAGCCCTGGGAGGAGCTGTTTGGTGCTGAAGACGATGACAAGGAAAATGATTTTGATGGATTTTAATGAAAATATTCAGAAATATGGAATCGTAGTATTTATTCAAGTGAATTAGGATAGAAT